ATTGAGCTTGTGGTTAACAGAAAAGACAAAAACGATATCATTGCAGATTAAAGTGAAGAGCGACTGGTTTTAAACTATATGGTTTGTGTAAATTACGTTATAGAACATAAATGGTGAATCCCATGATTTCCTCAGTTCGAATTATTTGAAGATTCAGGAGTTTATCCAGTGATGTATGTGGATGTCACTTAAAGATGTTTTTTTTCCCTTCCTGATGAACTAGCGGCCGAGCGGTAAAGTCGCTGAACACTGGTGTTAGTTCGGTCCGAGGTTCGAATCCCGCGAACGGGCGGGCTGCATGGGCGTTTTCGTGGTTTTCCCCATGTGTAACGTGTATGCGAGCCAGTTTCCCTTAGAAAGTCCTGCCACGAAGGCATCCCTCCCCTTAGGCAGATAGCCGTAGTGTGCTTTGTCATAATAAAATAAACCAAAACCTTTTGATGAAAACCAGTCTTTGCTTTCATCTCATAGCTTCAAAATGTTTAGCCTCTAAAGACTGATAAAGGCTCTGACGAAAGCATACTTCGTGAAGAACTTTCTAAGGGAAACCAGCTGTCATACGCGGTACACATGAGAAAATCCACGAAAACGCCCATGCAACCAGCCCGTTTACCGGGGTTCGAACCCCGGAGTGAACTACCAGTGTTCAGCAACTTTACCGCTCGGCCGTTTGTGGGCCTTTATGAAATGGAAGGCGATAACTTTATTTAAAATGATTGTCAGAAATACCAAAATGTTTCGAAAAGTTGGATGCTTTTCAATATACTTTCAGAATGCTTAAAGAAACAGAGAAGAAAAAATAAATTTTTTCGTAAAATTTAGTATTCGTATTTTTTTTTAAATTTAAAACTTTTCAATCTTATGATATTTGATTCTTGCGATTTCAAAAATAAAAATTTTGACTAAAATATGAATAACATTTTAAGAAACCAAATGATAGGATAAATTGTGTAAAGCAATGGGCACAATGATAAAACTGTTTTAAAGCAGTGTATGCAAGTCATCCTAAGTTAAAATATCGGTTATACATCTCTCTTATTTATATATATTTTTTCTGAACGGAACATTGAAAGGCGTGTAAAACTGTGCTTTACTGTATTTTCTCTTTTAATATAGTATGCAGTTTTCAAACGCATCGTAGTCTGGGTTACAAAGTATTCTTCCGAAAAAAACGCAGTTCAAATAAATAAAATCAAATTCTTAAAAATTGATATTAATAAATATATTTAAAATGCTCAGTTCGAAGGAATAAATAGAAAATTTTAAAACAATTATCTGAAGAGCCAATGCAACACAAACAATTAAAAAAAGTATAAAAATTTAAAAATGACCTAAAATAATAGCTATGACGAAAATATATATAAAGAAAACTATTTGAAAAAAAAATAAAATAAATAAACGCTGCACCTTTATTTACGCAGTTCGAATAGGTAAATAGAAATTTTTAAAACAGTTTTTCGAAAAAAAAAAAAAAAAAAAAAAAAAAAAAAAAAAAAAAAAAGTGCGACTTAAACAATTAAAATGAAATTCGAAAAAAAAAATTACTTAAAATAATAAGTTATAATTTAAAATATAATATAAAGAATATTATTTGGAAAAAAGGAACGATGGTGACTTTTTTCCTAAGGAAACTAGGTTGCCATATATTAAGAAGTTCGCCAAGTAAAGTATTCTTGGCGCAAACTGACAAAAAAGTGCCAACATAAATTTGTGAATTTCTCCGTAAATTTCGCTCCAAATTTTACAAAATTTCATATTTAGGCGTAATTTGAGTCGTAGAATCGAAATATGTAAAAAAATTGGTATGTTATTTCAGAAAAAGTCCGATTTTGTGTCAAAATACCTATGTTAGAATAGTGCTATATATAAATCTAATATATATCCTAAGTCGCGCTTTCGAGACATGAAGAACGCAATTTGAATTTTGTCAATCGGCCCAGTAGATCGGGAGATATAGGACTGTCCCATTTTTTTTTTTGAGCAGTGTACATGTGGTTAGAGTTATGTATAAGGGTGGAATAAGGTTGCTACAGTTGCGTATAAGGATCAATTACACTAATACAGGGATCGGACTAAATTATCGTCAAATGGTCATCAAGTTTGGCCATGACTGGCTTGGCGATATTCGCCTTACAATACATCCTGCAAGATATGGCGCCACCAGAGCTCCAATCAACTAAAATGCTTTTCATCTCTACTAGTAGATGACGCCACACGAGAGCCTCCTTTCACTACCACTGCACTGTGCAATTTTCATCAGGATTATGTCATGCTTATGCCATCTTTAGATTAATCACATCCTCAACTAATTGCTTTTCATTGAATATGCCTTTTATACCTCATTTATTGCTTTTCCAGACTAAATTCATGCCATGCACTGCTAAGACTAATGCCATGCCATGACAGACAGACTTAGTTACTTATTTTAGAAAGTTGCTTATTTTAGATTTTTCGCCATACTTTAAGATGATTGCTCCTCTTTTTTACTGCTTTGGTTTATCGCCATGCTTATCCATGCCATGCTTTTCAAGAAGACTGCTCTACGCCTGATTATGCCTCACATCTTGCTGCATTATTGCTTCGCTGGACTTTGTGCAATCGCCAAAGGTAAAAGTATGCTTGCATTTTCTAATAATCACCCACGGGTGTTGATCCTACTGGGCATCATCTCTTTTATTATACTGCTATTGGCCATCGGCTCCAGTTTTATCTACTAGTAAAGACTCCTAGAAGTAGAGGCTAGAAACAATCGAAGTTCACAAGTTCACAAAGAGCCTTATTTCTTCTAAGTTCACTTATTCTACGGACGGCGGCACAGGAGCCTCCGTCGCTAGTAATCTCCGAGTTCTAGCGCAGCATGTGCACAAGTACTTCCATATTATTGGATACAACTTATTCAATTCTTCACGCATTTAAAAGTCAAGTATAATATATTGGTAAAGACCGTTAATGGCCGATTGCCTCTTTCTAATTGATAAGACATAGACATAGATATTATTTAACTATAATGTATACATAATATAAGTATGCATTCAGTGAACATTCTTTTTTGAATCATTTATCCATTATATTGCATAAGGCAGGAGTACTTTAAAAAAGTGTTTACCAATTTTCATCAGAAAATTTATAATTTAGTTTGCTGTACAACAAAAAATACAGATTTGTAAGTATATGTAGAAGTATGGCTCCTTTAGTTTAATAGAGCTTTGGATTTAATAAGTATAGTTTTTTTAATTTAATATATTTTATAGTGCACATAATTTAATAACATAATGTAACAAACAGAAGCTCCAATTTTCTGCTTTTTAGGCATGTGGTACCATATATATTCTTTACTTTTCTTCTTACTCATTTACTTACATATTAACTTACTGACTGACTAACTGACGGTTTTCCTGCCTGTAGTCAAGTATTTTTGACTGCACAAGTGAATATATGCAATGTTCTTCAGTAATATTACATTTTTTCATGCTTCTATAGCTATCCTTGCATTTAGCATTCTTAAATGCAAACTTTCTGAATGCATTTCTAAGTAGATTTCATGTATCAGTATACGTTTCATTCTAAACACTACCCTTTTTCTTTACGCTGTTATTTTAGATTTAGTATTCACATATATGAGCGCACAATGCTTTTTGTCTGCTCTAAATCACGCTCTTTGCCATAAACTCCTAATTTTTAAATAAAAGTTTCATATGTGCATTCCCATTTTATTTTAGTATCCTGTACACCCAAAAATTTACTTGGCTTGCATATGAAAGATAGGTGAAAGGATACAAGTGAGATAAATACATAAAAATGAGAAAATGTCATAATTTGCATACAATGTAAGTGAAAATAATGTAAGTAATGCTTTTGAAATGTGAAAGTAATATGATATGTATCTAATATTATACGTAAAAAAATATTATGCGTAAATTATGTAATTCTTGGTTTTATTCATTTAATAAATAATTCACATATATCCTTTCCCATATCACTGTATTTTGAATGATATCCCTGCATGCTAATCGTATATTTCTACGCCTCATCCAAAGTTACATTGTACTGAGCGCAATATCGTATTTTTATATTCAGAAGGTTTTTTTTTTTTATGAATAATTACTTTCGTTCCTGAATTTACACGGTCTCTTAAAGCCTTAGAGTGCATATTTCACATCGATGCTCAGCTACCTCCATGACCCGCAGAGGAAATGATTTGAATAAATCACAAGATTACAAGTGGTTTTCCAGATTCAAAAAACTACCACTTTTCAAATGAAGACTGCTGAGATTCTAGCATCTCTTAATGAGCAGAAATGAGGAAAATAGTGAAAACATGCGACAGGTTACTAGTGAAGATCGTTGAAAGACTATTCTTCAGACTTACTAAGAAACGCTTTCTTTCAGCAGCGTTTAGGAAAGAACAACTTGGTGTCTATATTGCATTTATGTTGCTCACCAAAGCGCTCGAGTTGAATAATATTCCATTTCAAGAGCTCTAGAGCTGTTTCCATGTTTTCAGCAGAGGACAAAATATTGGAAAATGTGCATCGATGTTGGTGGAAAACAATTTTAAGGGAACTAAAATATATGATTCTACAGTATAATGTAATTGTGTAAAAATAAATCCGGTTAATTTTCGGAATCATCTGCACTTGTTTTGCCTCAGTAAGATCCGAAAAAATTGATTCCATTAAAATTTCTGAGTCTGCTTATTCAATATCATGCAAATAACAATGAATATTGATTTTCGATTTCGGAATAGAAGAATTAGAGGAGTGGAATTTTTGACCAGGCAAGTGGAGGACGGATAGTGTAGATAGGTAGGGAAACTTTCTATTCGAATATTGGTGGCGTATCTAAATGACATGATTAAATTGATGATGCTCTTAATTGTGACTTAACAGTGACAATGATTAAGAATGCCTCTTAATTGGGCCATAATATTACGAATTCGATTTTTCCCATTAACTGCAGTATTCAATTAAATTATTTATAATTTTTTGATTTACACTTACCAGAATATCATATGCATAGTGGGCTGCACGATGAAGAGAAATTTTGTTGAACTCCTGAAAAGATAGGCTTTTCCAGTCCCAAATCATAACTAAACCACATACTTGAGAAGCTTCTATGCGAATTAACATTAAACCCATCGTCATAAGTGTGGCTGTCAAATCTTCCAGTGTAGTAGTCTCGAAGTTATGATGACCTAAAAGTAAACTTTGATTGGAAACGTTTAATTTAAATTTAGAAACGCAATACTTTATCCTATGTTACAAATAAAGCGTAGGAAGAGGCGTCCTTTATCAATATGCAATCTTTCTCGCTAATGTGCGTTCAGAGGCAAATGTCTCTTTTATCAATGTTCACGTAATGATGGTAGACTTCAAGTATCAGAACTGGAGAATTAGAATTTTATAAATGACAAATGGTATAAAAATAAGATAATAAATGACAAGAAATTGCCGAATGCCATCAACGTTTAAATTCGGGATTAAAGTAAATGTTATTTACGTAATTCGCTACTTTTAATAACGATACTGAATAAATGGTACTCGAAATAATAGTTCCTGAAACATATTATCTGGAAGATAAAGATGGAGAAGATTCAAGAGTTACCATTACTCCAATGCATCGTGCTAATTTCTTCAGAAGTCCTTAAATTCAAAAAGCCTCATTTCACTGAATGGCCGAATCAGTTTAAATGAGATAAGGCATTTCATGCAAAAGACAGCGATGATTGTATTATTAAAGAAGTTAATTACATTGTATGAATGATATATTTAAATTTCTGTGCATAGATATGCATGGCAACATAGTTCTGACACGCGATATACATAGCAATAAGTTAAGAAATACATATAAATATTACGAATCGTATTGAAGGTAAATCGCTGCTAGTGACTACTAAACTAATGTAGTCTACGTGTAGATTTAACTTGGCTATTGAACTGGCCGAGTCGGTGATACTTGCTACTTAGTATTGAGTTTCTTTGTTCTTCGCTTGTGTTGTGTGACTTTTCGCGTTTTTATTCATTTATTTATGCTAATTTGACACACTCAGAATGTCAGTTCTGAGAATACTTGTCTTGTTAATACTTGTCTTAGGATTTTTTTCCTGCCTACCGATTGGATTTGGGCTTTCACTGATCGGACACTGACTGAACTGTCGAGAATTCAAGGACTTAGCAAGATTTCCACGTTGATCCCGGACGACGCTTTGTATTCGATAAATGCCGCTCCTTATGATGGAAGATAACCCGGATTTCGTTTCATTGTTCTCATATCTAACTCACCCTTGTCTCTCTGAGATGAAAGGTGTAGACAATCAAGCCACATTCGTTAAGGCTATTCCGGATTCCTACCAGTATAGAATGCTGATGATATGGAAATTGAGGATGTAGGAGCCAACCCATGAACAACAGGTTCGCTATTCTTCGCGATGAAAGTGAAGCTTAACCTGTCCTGATAAAATTCTATTGTTTGAAGAAACCCAGGCAATGAAGGAAAAACTCCAAGAATTTTATACCGCAGAAATTGCTACAAGTCTCACAAGAAACCATTTCCTAGTCAAACGAGACTAAACCAGCAGCAAAGCTCTCCTATTCATGGTCCAGGACGGAGGGAAACTCAGCGCCTTCCCCACCTGATAAACCGGCATTAGCTAATGAAGAAAATCTGGACTTTACCTGCCATGAAAATTGCAAATGTAGCAGCACACCATGATGTTTCCGATCAAATCAAAAATACTGCATTTGTCTACCAGCAACAAAAGTAAAAAAAAAAAAGTTACTAAAAAAAACTTTTTAAAGAAAATTTAAAAAAAAAAAAAACTTACTTAAGGTTGTAGAGTCCCTTGTGGTTAGTGGTTGTAGAGCGTATCGTTGCTTGGAAGTTGCTCATGAAACTTTTGGAAGACTCTGAATTCACGGACTACAAGGCTAAAATGGTAGCTGATTACCAAATTACCATTAAGATTTTCACGTCTGACGAATATCGCAAGGTAAGGCATTTTTTTAACGAAAAGGAAATCAAATATTAATACACATTCAGTGCGGGATGATAAAAAAAACTGAAGGTTGTACTCAGAAGCATTCCGCAAATGATGTTAGAGATGCACTTATCGAGCAAGGATTTCGAGTTGAACATGTTCTCCAGTTGACAAAGGCAGATAAAGAAACAAACGTGAAAAAACGCAGACCTTTATCAGAGGTCCCGAAGCAGTTACGACGATGCTGTTGTTCTTAATTATTCTGCTTAGAAATGACAAGAGTCGGGACATATTCAACACTAAGTTTTTCATCCATGCAATGCTAGCGCTGCCAGGGCTTTCATCACGCGCAAAGCATGTGCATGTTACCACCAAAATGCGTAAAATGTGGTTCAGACCGTCAATTCTGTTTTTATACCAAACGCAAAGATGAGCCTCCCAGATGTGAAAACTAGGGCTCGGATCACGTCTCCAGTTACTTTGAATACAGTGTTTCTCCAAGGCTTAAACAATAGTTGCAAGCAAATAGACTGTACTCAGTGAGAGTTATATTAAACATCTTCCATGTGTAGAGCACCAAAAAATCTGCAGAGATCGCTGAGCTGTCACAAAAGCTTTCAGAAGTCGAGGAGTTGATTGTTCAACTCACTACCGCAATCACCATTTTAAAGGACGTCTAAGTCTCCAAAATTATCGGAACACCAGTCAGGCTCCCAAACCGAGTAGCATGAACAGACAAATTTTCAACTCGTACTTTCGATTAAAATTGCACTCTGGAACATGCAAAATCTTGCATAAAAAGGCCTCTGATTTGACACAAAGCCTCTGATATTTTCTGCTATTGCAGCCGCGGCATCAATACGTAAACTTATGTCACTTTTATATGAAACATTGTTTGTATAAAAGCCTTACGGATATCTTGCAGACGAACCTTCTCGTAATGTATCTTAATAATCAGGATTTTTCGGTTAAATTTCCTGTGACACAGTTGCAGTCCTTTCGCGGAACATTGATTAGGTAGCGCTGCCTTGGGAGATCGTAGTGTGTCACACATTGAATCAAAGAACTAATTTCATTGAGCCAAAGAACTTGAATCCGTTCTTTGATTTCATTTAATCCTTTGATCCTTTCATTCATTTAATCCTTTCATTAAATCCTTTGATTGAGCTATCAGACCGAAATCTGTTCGAGGTTTATGCTTGGATAGAAATTTCGAAATCTTTAACAGAATGAAAATTCTTTTATCCTAATCAATTTGTTTTCTTCAGTATTTAAAACGATGTTCACGTTTTGCCATCGAGTGGCGGATTTTCCATTCTTCAGATATTTTTTTAGATGTTGCTTTTAAGGACTACTGGACCTTTGCTTTCCAAACAAATATATTTTTGCGGAAGGGAAACCGTTCTCAGTGGACATTGGAAAGGACAGGATAGTGATGAACATTCTTCGTAATTTTCAGAAAGGCGAAACTTTATGGGATCTTTTACTTACTTATCTTCTCTCTGTACAGTGGAACTTTCCTGTATCAAATATTCATCTGCACGCGAAGCTGCAAAATATGTATATCGTTCTTTATTGAAGAAAAAGTGAATGTTATTCAAAAAATTTTTATCTGAGAGAAATACAGCTTCTTTTTGTTTTAGCATTTGTAGCTCACATTTTGAGCGCGAGTGTCTATACACATGTAGAGTTTATATTTATTTTAACTAACATTTATTTTAAGTTTAAGCTATCTTTCCTGTCAAGCCTTTACTTTCCCCTAGAATTGCCAATGCCAGAGTATGTAAATCGTAGTAGAACGCGCAGAATATTCAAATTTTAGCAGAATTAAGTTGAGTTTAAATAGAAGGGAAACGAGATTGTAAGTGTGCTTCTTGAATCGCGAGCGTGAATGTTGCTAGGTAGAAATTTTAAGAACCGCGCGTTTCGGCCTGTGTGCCTATTTCGGCGGTTCGTTGAATCTTTCAACTTCTTAACCAGTAAGTTTGCTGAATCTCAGCTGTATCTTAGAACGCGGTTACGTTAGTTACGATTATAGAGTCTCGTAGGTAGTGATTTCGTTATTTATTCATCCTGTCATTTATTTTTAGTTGTACTTTTCTATTTTGTTAAAACGCCGGGTCGGCGTAGTTTGTGAGCGTCAAGTGAACGCAGCTGTATTTCTAAAGTGGAATAAAAAGGGATTTAAACCCTTCTTACGAGTTTGTGTAATTTACAGTTCAAAGCAGTCACTACCACTGTTGCTGACAAGTTGGGGCGTCGCAACATTATATTGGCGCCCGAACACCGTAGGAACTGAGATGGCCGAAAACTGGATGGAAGCTCCTGTACAACTCCAACAACAAGAAATGGCGAACCAGTTAGAAGGATTTGGATACCTGGTCCAAACGATGAGAGCATCTATCAAGCCAAACGACAATTTCGACGGAAAAAATTCGGTGGCGATATTCTTAGAAGGCCTCGAAAATCACTTCCAGTTATACCCTGTGCCTGAAAGACAAAAAGTTGCCATTGCCACGTCTGCACTAAGAGGACAGGCCTCACTATGGTGGAAGAGTATAGGGAAATTTTTATTAGGAGAATTCGGAGGCCAAACATATACCTTTGAAAATTTCAAAATATCATTATTAAAGGCCTTCCCCATAGTGAAAGACCGAGCAAAGCTAGAAGTCGAGCTGTATAGTTTTATTATGAATTTATGTTCTGCATACAAAATGTCTGTATAAGTATATGAATTTATGTTCTGTGTACAAAATGTCTGTATATATGTATATGAATTTATGCTCTGTATATATGATAATGTAACTATGCATCTGCGCATTTTATCCTGTAACACGGCACCGTATCGTATCGCAAAGAACTAACTAGAGCCCCACTCTAAAATTAATTGCACCAATTATCTGTTCAGCAGTGTATTAAGTACCTATTGTTAATGTATGTTAAAGTAGCACTTACCTAACGCTTGGGTATCCACTAATTACTGTGTACCTAATACACATGTTTTAATATCTTTGTACATTGGTTAATGTACTTAGGAAACAGTACAAATAATTTAGTAGCAAGACACTGTACCACACAGTACTAATCTAGGGTCTAAATTTTAATTCACTGTACTAATTACTTATTCCAGCATAACATTGCGCACCTAATTTTTCAGTATGTACATGTCTTCTGTAATCTAATGATCAAGCTTCAAAGGATCATAGTGTACTCAACAT